GTCTTGTCTGCAAACTTATTAATTCACCCATCTACATTTTCATCCAAGTCATTTATATGAATCACAAATAGCAGAGGTCCCTCTGCAGAACACCACTAGTCACGGACCTTCCACCAGAATAACACCCTTCCACCAATACCCTCTCCCTTCTATGGGCAAGCCAATTCTGAATCCAAGACTAATTAGTAAAGTTAGATAACATAGCATTCAGGGTGAGTTTACTAATTGGATACAAAATTGGCTTAATGGCCAGAGAGAGTGATGGTAGAGGGTTGTTTTCGGACTGGAGGCCTGTGACCAGCAGTGTTCCACAGGGATCAGTGCTGGGTCCACTTTTGTCATAGATTCATAGAGCTGTACAGCATGGAAACAGACCCTTCAGTCTAACTCGTTCAGGCTGACCAAATATCCTGAACTAATCTAGTCCCATTTGCCAGCATTTGGCCCATATCCCTCTAAACCCTTCCTATTCATATACCCATCCAGATGCCTTTTAAATGTTGCAATTGTACCAGCCTCCACCACTTCTTCTGGTAGCTCATTCCATATAAGCATCATGGTCTGCGTGAAAAAGCTGCCACTTAGGTCCCTTTTAAATCTTTCTCTTCTCACCTTAAACTTATGTCCTCTATTTGTGCATTCCCCCGCCCCAGGGAAAAGACCTTGGCTATTCACCCTCTCTATACTCATGATTTTACAAACCTCTAGACAGTCACGCCTCAGTCTCCAACGTTCCAGAGAAAATTCACCCTCTCCCTATAGCTCAAACCCCCCAACCCTTGTAAATCTTTTCTGAACTCTTTCAAGTTTCACAACATCCTTCCTATAGCAGGGAGGTCAGAATTGCATGCCATACTCCAAAAGTGGCCTAACCAATGTCCTGTACAGCTGCAACATGACATCCCAACTCCTATATTCAATGCACTGACGAATGGCAGCAAGCATACCAAACGCCATTTTCACTATCCAATGCAACTGCAACTCCACTTTCAAGGAACTATGAACCTGCATTCTCAGGTCTCTTCTGTTCAGCAACACTCCCCAGGACCTTACCATTAAGTGTGCAAGTCCCACCCTCATTTGCCTTTACAAAATGCAGCACCTCACATTTATCTAAACTCCATCTGCCACTCCTCAGCCCATTGGCTGATCTGATCAAGGTACTCTGAGGTAACCTTCTTCACTATCCACTACAGTCCATTTTCAGGTCATCTGCAAACTAACTGATTGTACCTCCTACATTTGCATCCAAAACATTTTGGGTCACAGGCCTCCAGTCTGAAAAACAACCCTCCACCACCACCCTCTGTCTTCTACCTTCAAGCCAGTTCAGTATTCAAATGACTAATTATCCTTGTATTGCATGCGATCTAACCTTGCTAACCAGTCTACATGAGAAACATTGTCAAACGCCTTACTGTCTATATAAACAATGCCCACCGCTCTGTCCTTGTCAATCCTCTTCATTACTTCTTTAAAAAACTCAATCAAGTTAGTAAGACTCTATTTCCTATGCATAAAGCCATGTTGACTATCCCTAATCAGCCCTTGCTTTCCAAATACATGTAAATCCTGTCCCTCAGGATTCCCTCCAACAATTTGCCTATCACTGATGTCAGGTTCACCACTCTATAGTTCCCTGGTTTTTCCTTACCATCTTTTTAAAATAGTAGCACCACGTTAGCCAAACTTCAGTCTTCCGGCACCGCCCCTCTGGCTATCGATGATACAAATATCTCAGCAAGGGGCCCTAGCTTCCCACAGAGTTCAAGGGTACACCTCATCAGATCCCAGAGATTTATCCACCATGAGGCATTTTAAGATGTCCAGCACCTTCTCCCCTGTAATATGGACAATTTCACAATGTTGCTATTTATTTCCCCATGTTCTCTATCTTCCATACCCTTCTCCACAATAAAACTCTAATGCAAAATAAGCGTCATTTATGTAAATGATTTAGATGAGAATATAGAAGGCATGGCCAGCAAGTTTGCAGATGACACCAAAATTGGCGATGTAGTGCACAGTGAATGTTAGCTAAGATTACAGAAAGATGTTGATCAGTTGGGCCAATGTCTGAAGAGTGGCAGAAAGAGTTTCACCTGGATAAATGCGAGGTATTGCATTTTAGTAAAACAAACAAGGGAAGGACTTATACAATTAAAAGTAGAGCCTTAGGTAGTGTTGTAAAACAGAGAGATCCAGGGGTTCAGGTACGTAATTCTTTGAAGTTTGTCTCACATATTGATAGGGTGCTTAAGGCAGCATTTAGCACACTTGCCTTCATTGCTCAGATCTTTAGTATAGGAGTTGGAGCATTGTATTGAGGTTGTATAGGATGTTAGTGAGGCCTCTTCTGGAGTACTGTGTCTAGTTCTGGTCACCCTGTTATAGAAAGGATATTATTAAATTGGACAGGGTTCAGAAGAGATTTACCAGCACGTTGCTGGGAATGTACGGAGAGGCAGGACAGGCTGGGATTTTTTTCACTAGAATGTTGGAGGTTGAGGGGTGACCTTATAAAGGTTTATAAAATCACAAGGGGTATACACAAGGTGAATGACAGGTGTTTTTTTTCCCCTAGGGTGGGTGATTTTATGACTAAGGGGCATAGTTTTAAGGTGAGAGGAAAGAGATTTAAAGACAAGGGGCAATTTTTTTACATAGTGGTTTGTGTCATTTGAACTTCAAGGAAGTGGTGGATGCTTAAGAGACATTTGTTTAAATGTTTGAGACATTTAGATAAACTCATGAATAAGAAATGTTTGGAGGGATATGGGCGAAATGCAGGCAGGTGAGTCTAGTTTAGTTTGGGATTACAGTCAGCGTGGACTGGTTGGACCGAACGGTCTATTTCGGTGTTGCATAACTCTACCTTGAACATATTTGAGAACCTGTCATAATCAGATGAAGCCAATATTGTTTTGTAAAAGGAAATCAGTTCTAACTAATTTATTGAAATTCTTTGAAGTAACTTGCGCTTTCAACAATGGGGAACGAATGCGTACGTTGAACTCAGATTTCCAGACAGCATTTGATAAGACGCTACATTAAAGATTACTGTGGAAAACTAAAGCTCATAGTGTTGGGGGTTACAGATTGGCATGGATAGAAGACTGGCTGGTTCACAGGAAGTAGGAAGTAGGAATAAATAGGTATCTTTTCAGGCTGGCAGGACGTTATAAGTAGTGTGTAATTGGGGTTGGTGCTAAGGCATCAGCTCTTTACAATTGTATAAATCATTTGAATGAAAGGACTAAAGGCTCAGTAGCTTAATTTGCTGATGACACAAAGACAGCAGAAAAGTAAGTTGTGAAGAGGATATAAGGAGCCTACAAAGGGATACACAGGTTGTGGGTGAGCAAAGATCTGACAAATGGAGTGCAATATGGCAAAGTGTGAAATTGTCCATTTTGGTAGGAAGAATAGAAAAGCCTATCATCTAAATGGTGGAAGTTGTAGAGATTTGGGTGCTCCAGCGTATGAATCATAGAAGCTTAATATGCAGGTTCAGCAAATAATCAGGAAAGCTAGTAGAGTGTTATGGTCTATTGCAAAGGGACTCGTATGCAAGACCAGGGAGGTTATGCTTCAGTTACACAGAGCATTGGTGAGACCACATCTAGAGTACTGAGTAAACTACTGCTCACCATACATATTTTAAGAATATTACTGCACTAGGAGCAGTTTCAAGGTTTACCGAACTAATACCTGGAAAGAGCAGATTGCCTTATGAAGAAAGATTAGGCAGACCAGGCCTACATCCTCTGGAGTTTAGAAAGAATTAAAGGTGACTTAATTGAAATATAAAAGATCCCGAGGGTATTTGACTGGCTGATGTCAAAAGGATGCTTCCTCCTATGGGAGGGTTTAGAAACTAGGGTTTGTAGTTTAAAAATAAAGGGGTCACCCTTTTAAAACAGAGATGGGGTAAAAAATTTCACCCTGAGAGTTGCAAGGCTTTAGAATCCCTTCCTCCAGAGGCAGCGGATGCAGAATCTTTAAATATTTTTAAAGGCAGAGGTAGACAGATTCTTGATTACCAAGGGGATGAAAGATATTAGGGAGATGTAGGAATGTAGAATTGAGGTTAAAATCAGATCAGCATAATCTTACTGAATGGTGGAACAGGCTCGACTGCCGAGTGGCCTACTCATGTTCCTTTTCAGGTGTATATTCAATCACATTTTGCTGATCTGAATCTTAACTCTACCTACCCGATTTAGTCCCATTGAAACAGTAACTTTTAAAAAAAGTGATCCATCTCAGATTTGACATCTTCTGCCGCACCAGCTGTTTGGAGAATTCCAGATTTCCACTAGTCTCTATGTAAGTATGTGCTTCTATACATCAACCCAAACAATGTAACAATTCTGGCATTTTGAACTGCCTGGTTTGAATTTTAAGGTCTCGCTCCCTTGTTCCAGATCCTCCCATCACAGGAAATGGAATCCTTTAATCATCTTAAGCAGCTCAATGGGATCATCCTTTAATCTCACATTCAGGGAACACTAATCTCATCTGTAACCTGTGCACCCAGTTTAATCTTTGAGTCCCTGTTTCATTCTAAAGAATCAATAAGGCATCCTGCCCAAGGCACTGGGTCCAGGACTGGACACAGTCTTTCCAGCTGCAGGCTGGAGAAGAGCTCTGTAAAACTAGAACACAATTTCCAGCTTTTAACTTTCATCTCCATCGAGCTGGAATTAAACTTCCATTCACCTTTCTCATTCTAGTTTGTATCTGCTCACTTGTTTTTAGTGATTTCTGCACTTTGACCCATAAATCTCTGCTCGCCCACAGTTGTGAACTTCTCCCCATTGAGAAAACCCCCTTTCTTGCCACCAAAATGGATGAGGTCTCACTTTCCCACATCGAACGCCATCTGCCAAAATTTGAGTTACTCACCAAGTCTATTGTGCGTGGGTCTGGGGTTTTGATTGTATATACTTATCTCCCCACAGACAGAGACCAATGTACCCTGCCACAGTTCAGGAAGGTTCAGTGATAATTTACTTTAATTCAGATTGCAAACAAACATGATCAGCGCATCTCCAACAAGAGGCTTCAGAGTCAAGGGAAATAAGTTGAACTGCTGCCAAGGCTCCATACACTAGAACAGCTGCACGGCAGTCAGGCCCAGGCCACATGTCAGTAACCCTCATTCGCCCAGGTCACATTGTAGTCTGGATACTTGGCTTTCAGGAGCTCTGTTGTGATTTCATGCTTTGCACGTCCATAGCCCTGCGCACAAAAGGACAAGATAATGTGATAAACTTATTACTCAGTTCCTGCGACAGAAATCCTTCACAAATTTGGACAGTTAAGCATGTACCGTCTGATGTATTGCATTCCCTTCCTAAAGGAGCTGATTCAAAGGTTCCACTCATTTGATTCAGCAGCTTTTCAGTGAGTTACCCTGCTCCATGGCCAAACTCTTTCCCGAGGTTCTGACTGTGTCAACAGTCTACTCTCAAGAGAAACAGCCTCAAGAGATGCTCATATCAGGAACCCATTCACCTTCCCAGCTCTCCTCACTACCCAGCAACCACAACGAACCCCCCCACCTCACCCCCAAACACTGCCCCCCCATCACGACCACCTCCCATTACCAGTGGCACAGGGCAGTGGAGAAATGATCAAGCTGCCGGCTGAACAGGCGCTCCATGTTGCTAAACCTTCAACACCATTATCCCCTCCAGACAGATCTCAAAACTGCATGACCTTGGTCTCAGCTCTGCCCTCTGCAACTGGATCCTCAGCTTTCTGACCCACAGGCCACAATCAGTGAGGATAAGTAACTGCACCTCCTCCACAATAACACTCAACACTGGAGCCCCCCAGGGATGCGTCCTCAGCCCCCTACTGTACCCCTTGTACACCTACAACTGTGTTGCCAGATTCCAAATGAACGCCATCTACAAGTTCGGATATCTAACAACGATGTGTCAAAACACACAAGGGAGATAGAAGGCTTGGTGACGTGGTGCAATGAAAACAATCTCTCTCTCAATGTCGGCAAAACTAAAAAAAACTGATCATCGACTTCAGAAAGATAGGAGGAGAACACACCCCCATCTACATCAACGGAACCGAGTTGAGAGAGTGAAGAGCACAAAGTTCCTCGGAGAGACGATAACTGACGACCTGTCCTGGGCTTCTCACATAGACGCGACAGTCAAGAAGGCACAACAACGCCTCTTCTTCCTCAGGCAGGAAATTTGGCATGTCCATAAGGTCCCTCACCAACTTCTACAGATGCACCATTGAAAGCTTACGGTCTGGGTGCATAATGGCCTGCTATGGCAACTGCTCTGCCAGGACCGTAAGAAACTACAGAAGGTGGTGCGCACAGCCAGGACCATCACGGAAGCCAACCTTCCATCCATGGACTCTATTTAATGGCTCGCTGCTGCAGAAAGGCAGCCAACATCATCAAAGACCCAACGCACCCGAGTAATGACTGCCTACAACTTCTTCCGTCAGGCATAAGATACAGAAGCCTGAACATATGCACAAGCAGGTTCAGGAACAGCTTCTTTCCAGCTGTTATCAGACTGTTGAATAGACTCTAGCCTCACATAACGTAACCTGCAATGTAATCTGTATGCCTCTAAGTCTTTTTGATTTGCCCATCCTTTGCTTGCTGTGATCTGCCTGTATCACTCACAAACAAAGCTTTTCACTGTATTTCGGTACACTTGACAATAAAAATCAATCAGGTCATCAGGCAGCAGCTCAGTCATTTTAGAAGAGCTTAAATGATTTGAATGGAGTGGTCAACTGTATCATAGCCAAGTTAGCTGATGATATGAAAATAGGAAAACAGCTGGTGAGGTTAGGAGGAGTTTCAAAGAGATAATCGAGAGGATCAATGAGCCAGTTAAAAATATGAATTATGTGGGAAAATGTGAAGTTGTTCATTTTTGCAGGAAGAATAGAAAAACAGAATACTGCTTAAACGGAGAGAAAGAGACTACAGAATACTGTAGTACAGAGGAATCTGGGTGTATTTGCTCATAGATAATAAAAAGTGCAGGCCATTCAGCCCTTTAAGGTTGTTCTGTAATCATGGCTGATGTTCTACATCAAAGCCATTTCTCTATCCCCATAATGTCTTGATATCTTTGATCAAAGCTAGTTAGGAGGCAGATACAGCAAGTAATCAAGAAGGCAAACAGCATATTGGAATAGGGATGGAGTATGCAAGTAAGAGATCTTTCTACAACTATACAGAATGTTTGTTAAGACCTCACCTGGAGTACTGTGTAGAATTTTGGTCTTCTTACTTAAGTTGGAATATACTTGCACTAAAGCATTTGAGAGAAGGTTCACTCTGCTCATTCCTGGGATGAAAGCATTTGTCTGATGATGAAAGGTTGGATCTATACTCAACGAGAATTAGAGCTGAGCTTATTGAAACTTAGAAAGAGAGAGCGCGGTCTAACAAGGTATATGCTGAGAGGATGTTTTATCTGTGGAACTGTCAAGAGCTGGGCACGCAGTTCAAAACTAATTTATAAAGTTGGAGATGAGAAGGAATTTCTTCAGGGGTCATTAGGCCAGTCCTGTACACATTGACTGTTCACATACATTCGCCTCCGTCCTAACAATGCACATACGCCTCACCCTCCCGGCACACACACACACCCTGAATATAGGAACAACCTCCTGCGCTCTCTTCATAATGGGATCAGCCCAATGATTATGTCTGACAATGAACACTCCCTGTTGACATTGACTCTGCAGCACCTCTCATACATTGTCCCCTGACAGTGCTGTAATAAACTACGCATATGCCCTTTGTACTTACCATGGAGTATCCATACACATGGATTGTCTTCTTGGCGCTGTTATGGTTAATACGACCACCACCTTGGCACTCACACTGCAGACCCTGCTTCTGAATCCAGCTAGACACTTGCTCATAGATATCAGCTGTAGTTATGATAAAACACAAAACCATTTCATGACTGTTGTGTATTTGGTAAGTATAGTGGACTGTCACTTCACTGGCCCTTCTTGAACAGTTACAGTGATTGGAAGTACCATGTCAACCGCATAATTCACTGCAAACATTCCCAAAATGGCTTCATGAAAACTCCCTCCACACCAATTGTACATGATCCAGATCCTCATTTGTAAACAGCACGTATATATACAATCCCCAGATTCAGACAGCTGACCACAGAGGTGCCTTAGGGCGTTATCAATTACTCCAAATGTTTTCCTCAATAAAACTGCTCTGATTGCTTCAATTCAGCTATATTCAGTGTTTCTGATAAACACTCACACTGCGCATTTCCTCTAAAAGTTGCCCGTTTTCATCAACTCATTTCGCAGCTCAGAAGCATACACTTTCACCCGCTCCATTCAGTCCACTGCTGTTTGTACATTTTTAATGTGGTGTATTATTTTATCATAATTTTCATTGATTTATTGTCAGCGACATTTTAGGAATTTGAACGTTATCACCGAATTTTAATTTGAAGAAAAAATACCAACACCATCCAAGCTAAATGTTATTCGCCAACTGGTTTGAATTCTGATTTTTCCACATTCTGGCCCTATTAGATTCATTTATTTTCCAGATTAAAGAAACCCCCTTATTCTCTCTCTCATTGGAAATCTTATTCATAATAAGGTGCGTCCATTAAACCCAGGTGACTACATAAAGACGCAACATCATAGTTGGCACAAACTGTCTCAAATGTGATATGGGAGCTCCTGGCTTGATGGGGAATCTATACAAATGGCAATGAGTAGGTTATTTCAATAAATGTTTAAGTGTGGGTTAGACACTATTTCTCCATAAACAATAACAAATTCAATGTCCAACTACACTTGCATGTTTACACAGACTCCCACTGATGAACTGGCTTAATGCACTAACCCAATAATGACACTAAACAGGCCGGCCCAGTTAGATCCCTGGGCTCTGCTCAGTCAGCTACTCCAATGCAAAGAGCTGAGAGAAGTTGCCAGGGTAAAACAAGGTCAGACAGGATTTGCTACTTCTCTTTCCTCCTCTGAAACATAGAGCCTGTTCCTGTGCTGTACAGTTCTCCGGCCTACGATGTGGTGCTGAACGTGACACCAAACTGAACTAATCCCTTCTGCCCACCCTTGGTCCATATCCCTCCATTCCTTGCTTATTCATGTGCCTATCTGAAAGCCCCTTAAACACCCCTATCACGTCTGCCTTCACCACCACCCCTGGTAGCACATTCCAGGCACCCACCACTTTGTGTAAAAGACTTGCTTGTCACATCTCATTTGGACTTTCTCCCTCTTACTTTTAATGCATGCCCTCTAGTATTAGAAATTTCAACTCAGGAAAAAATTCTGACTGTCAGCCCTTCCTATGCCTCTCAATTTATAAATTTCTGTCAGGTCTCTCCTCAGCCTCTGCCACTCCAGAGAAAATAACACTAGGCTGTCCGCCTTCTCCTTATAGCTCATACTCTCCAGCACAGGTAGCATCCTGGTAAACCTCTTCTGCACCCTCCCTAAAGCCTCCACATCCTTCTTGTAACGTGGCAACCAGATTTGAACACAATACTCTAAGCATGGTCTCACCAAAGTGTCAAAGCTGCAACATCACTTCCTGACTCTTGTACTCAATTCCCTGACCAATAAAGGTAACCATGCCATATGCTTTCTTTACCACCCTATCTACTAGTGCTGCCGCTTTTAGTGAGCTATGGACTTGAAGCCCAAGATCTCTCTGTAGGTCTGTTCAGGGTCCTGCCATTAATCATACACCTTCCTCAAAATTTGACCTCCCAAAGTGCAACACCTCACTCTTATCTGGATTTTACTCCATCTGCCATATCAGCAACTGATCTATATTCCGCTGTATCCTTTGACAACCTTCTACACTATTCACAACTCCACCGATCTTTGTGTCATCTGCCAACTTAGTAACCTACTAATCTGGTTTTCAAAAAACACCCTTTCACCACTACCTTCTGCCTTCTATTGGGAAGCCAATTCTGAATGCAAGCAGCCAAGTCACAGTGGATGCCATGCATCTTAATCTTCTGGATGAGCCTACCATGAGGGACTTTGTCAAAAGCCTCACTAAAATCCATGTAGACAACATCCACTGCTCTACACTCAATCATCTTCATCACCACCTCAAAGAAAAATCTAGTTACCTAGACATGACCTGCCCTGCACAAAGCCATGCTAACTGTCCTTAATTAGGTCATCCTTTTCCAAATGCATGTAAATCTTATCCCTGAGAATTCTCTCCAATAGCTTCCCAACCACTGATGGGAGGCTCACCAGTCTATAGTTTCCTAGATTATCCTCATTTCCCTTCTTGAGCAGAGGAACAGCATTAGCTACTAGCCAGTCCTTCAGGACCTTTCCAGTAGCTAGCAAGGGTACAAAGATCTTGGTCAAGGCCCTAGCAATCTCCTCCCTTGCCTCTCTCAATAACCTGGGATAGATTCCATTAGTCCCTGAGGACTTATCCACCTTAATGTTCTTGAAGAGACCCAACTACTTTCTTGACCTCCAATTGCCACAGCATATTAGCATGCCACACATTAATATCACTATCCTCCATATCCTTCTCCTGAGTGAATATGGACGCAAAGTGCCCATATAGGATCTTGCCCACATCCTCTCCCTCCAAGCACAATTTCACTCCTTTATCCTTGAGTGGTCTACCTTCTCCCTAGTTATCCTCCTGCTCTTAATAGGTGTACAAAATGCCTTGAGATTCTCTTTAACCCTACTTGCCAAGGTCATTTCATTGCCCCTTCTTTGCTCTCATTATTCCCTGCTCGAGTTGTTTCCTGCTTTATATTCATCATGGGTCCTGTCCAATTTTAACTTCTAAACGTTACACATGCTTCCTCTCACTTTTTGACTAAATTCACAACCTACTCCGTCATCCAAGGGTCCCTTACCTTGCCATCTTTATCCTTCCTCCTTAGTGGAACATGCCGGTCCTGAACTCTCATCAGCAGGACTTTTAAACAATTCCCATATATCAAATGTAGACTTGCCTGCTAACAGGTCCTTACAATTAACACTCCCTAGCTCCTGCCTAAAACTGACATAATTTGCCCTCCCCCAATTTTACCACCTTCCCACATGGTCCTGACTTATCCTTATTGATAGCTATCTTAAAACTTAGGGGGTTGTGATCACTGTTTCCAAAATGCTCTCCCACTGTAAAGTTAGTTACCTGGCCAGGCTCATTACCCAGTAGAAGGTCCTGTGGCCCCTCCTCTAGTTGGGCTATCCACAAAAGTTTTCAGGAAACCCTCTCAGATGCACCTAATAAATTCTGACCTGTCTAAGCCTTTTGCTCTAAGGGAGTCCCAGTCAATATTGGGAAAGTTAAAGTCACCTACTATGATAACCCTATTGTTAGTGCATCTTGCCATAATGTGCCTACACATCTGTTCCTCAATATCTCGGTGGCTGTTGTGGGGCCTATAGCGTAATCCCATCACTGTTTGCGCATTTCTTGTTTTTGAGCTCTACTAATATTGGCTCAGTGGATGCGCCCTCCACTATGTCCTCTCTGAGAGCTAGTGCGACTTTCTCCCTGATTAGTAATGCAACTCCTCCACCTCTTACCTCCCTCTCCCCCTCATCTAAAACATCAAAACCCTGGAACGTTGAGCAACCAATCAACCCTCTCTCAACCAAGTCTCTTGAATGGTCACAATATCATAGCCCCATGTACTGATCCAGGATCTAAGCTCATCTGCCTTACCCATAATGGTCCGTGCATTGAAATAAACACACTAAAGACAATTTGGATTTGATAAACTTTGTACAGTTTTGTTAAAGTAATGGAGAAACTGATGAGAGCAGTGATCAATGAATTTTCAAGGCTTTCAACAATGTACTACTAGTCAGAAGACCTGACGGTGAAAATAAAATCCATAAATTAAAAGAGGTAATAACTAAATAGATTTAAAATTGGTGGAAACACATAGTTGAACAGAAAGGGGAACAGTTGTTTTTCAGACAAAGGTAAGATACCCGATAGTTATCTTTCGTGTTCAGTCCAAGCGACCATTACTGTTTGATAGATCTGAATGACCAGCACCAGACGCACAGTGCAGAAGTTCAAAACCTGCAGCTAACACAGCTTGAAAGTGAAGAGATTGACTGAAGTGAGCAGTGAAATGCCAATTAATCCACACAAATGCAAATTGCTGATTTTGGGATGGAGACTGAGGAGAAGTGGTAGAGACAAGTACAATTACAAGAAGACATTTAGATAGGCATATGGATAGGTATAGATAGTTATAGGCCAAACGTGGGTAAACAGGACTGGTACAGTTTAGAAAACCAGGTCAGCATGGACAAGTTGGGTTGAAGGGACTGTTTCCACGTTGTATGACTCTATGCAACTTAGAACAAAGGGGACAATCTAAAGGGCCAGCAGGAGCCAAGAGTCCTGGGTACGTAGGTCAAACCCAGACCTTTAGGGAGAATGTTAAGGCCTGAGAGATTTGCTAACATGCTACCAGGGATGAGTTTTCAGTTACGTGGAGAGTTAAGAGAAAGTGGAGTTGCAGGCCATAGAGCAAAAAAAAGTTAGACAAGTTGACAGTGGCATTCAAAATCTTGTAGTAGTTTGAGATTTTGTTTGTTCCATGCAGTAACGGAAGACTTGGTAATCAATGGACACAAGGTTTAGGACACTGATAAACATGTCAGAGGGCACGAAGAAACCATTTTTGATACAAGTTGTGATCTAGAACGCTATGCCTGAAAGGGCAGAAACAGATTCAATAGGAACTTTCAAAAGGGATAAATACTTGAAGGGGAATTACGAGACACACTGAAATGGTGCCTCCACAGGGTCCCTTCAAACATTCCTGAGTGACCAATCTCACCGGACAGTGCATCCTGACACCCAGATTGCTGCCACGCACTCAACTCTCCACCTCCCCATTCGACATCAACTGGGCAGCATTGAAAATTTGCTGTATTGGATACAGCCATTCAGTCCATCATGCCTGTTCTAGTTGAGGAAGTATCATCTATCCAATTCCCATTTCTCAGCTCTTAGTCCATATCTCAGTATTTCAGGTATCCTAGTATTATTAAATTGTGACAAAGGTCCCTATATTTAGCACCCATTCAGACAGCAGATCCTGCCCCAAACCCATCCTCCCAAAAGCCTAATCTATCCAGTCATTACTTAGATCTAACATCACCCCGGAAATCTCCTCTATAATTACTTCAACAGGATCATATCTTTCTGACCAAACTATCCATCTCACCGATTCCTCTCTCCTACCCCAATTCCTGACTCCGCTCCACTTTCCACTCATCATTCCCCCCTCCCTACCATTGCACATCTCTCCCCTTCATTCCCCTCCCTTCTCCCCTACTTCCCTCTACCTCACTCCCTCATTCCCTTTATCCAACCCTGTCCACTTTTCCACCCTTTTCCCTTCCTCACCCCTCGTTCATTCCCCTTGAAGGAGAACAACTGCATGATAGAGGCAAAGTAGGGAGCTGATCTCAGGATTCGTCTGCTTCCATTATCTTTCCTTCTTTTTTACTTTTGCTCTTTTCTTTTCTTTGAAGCCTGAAGAGTGGCGAGTGGAGGAAGAAGGCTCTAGCAGCAGCCATGCCAGGCATGGCTCCACCCTAGCCTAGGGTCCCCCAGTGAGCAAAGAGCAGCTCCCATGCTGACTCCCCTGGCCTGGACTCACAGGCGAGGCTGAGGCACCAGTTCTGCAGCTAGGCCTGGGCACCTGAAGGAGCAGAAGCATCAGTGAACAGGATGGATGGTGGATCAGCAACAGTGTCTGAAGCAGTGTCAGGTGGGGAACAGGGGCTTCTCCTTGGCCCAGCACAGTGGTCTCCTGCTGTAGTGGTTGTGTCCCAGCATGGAGGTCTTCTTCATCTTTGGCATCCAGATATTCCAGCGACCTGAATGGCAGTCTCAACTCAGCTGCATCTTCAGGGTTTCTCATCGTTCCTTACTTGGCTTTCCCCAATCCCAGGAGCTGTTGACTGAACTGTGATGGACTTTATCTTGATTTTACTTTTTTAACTATTTATGACCTCCATCATTAATATAGGCATTGTAGTAGGGTGGCAAATAGCTTTTCATTGTATTTTTCATGTAAAAGTATATGTAACGATAAATTTCTATTTTTTTCACTGGAGCATTGGATGTAGAGGTTTACAAAATAATGAGGGGCATGGATAGGGTGAATAGCCAAAGTCCTTTACCCCTAGGGTCAGGGAATGCAAAACTAGGGGGCCATATTTTTAACATGAGAGGAGAGAGATTTGAAAAAAGACACGAGGGGCAATTTTTTTTTATACAGAGAGTGGTGTTTGGGATGAACTTTCAGAGAAAGTGGTGGATGCGGGAACAGATACAACATTTAAAAGACGTAAGTACAGGAATGGTAAAGATGTTCAGGGATATGGGTGGGGAGCAGGCAGGTGGGTCTAGTTTAGTTTGGGATTAGGGTCAGCATGGAGTGGATGGACCGAAGGGGCTGTTTCCGTACTGTGCGACTCTATTCCCTCCCTCTGCCCTGGATTCCCGGTGTTTGCCCGGCTCCTCCTGTTTACCGTGATACTCGGCCGAAGCCCAGCCGCGGACGATAGTCTTCTCCTGGGGGTTGTCACTTTCACTCCACACACGAATGAGGACGTATTTAAAGACGCCGCCCGGATCGATGCGGACATCATCGAGCTCCGCCAAACTGAGCGCCATGGAGCCGCCAGAGTGCAAGCCCCCGCTATAACACACTGAGCATGCGCGTTGCCGGCACGGCCGTAACGCATATCGAGCATGCACATGACCGGCAGGGACGTAGCACGAGGTGCATGCGCATGACCGGCAGGGACGTTATGCTTACCAAGCATGCTTGGTGACCGGCACGGCGTTATTCATAATACGCGTTCCACCAATCGGAGAGGTGGTTATGAACACCAAGCATGCGCATGTGCGGCACGACCGTAGACACAAAGAACACGGGCGTCAGACATAGTAACAACTGCCGATGCTGGAGTCAGAAATAACACAGTGTGGAAATAGTAAGAACTGCAGTTGCTGGAGTCAGAGATAATAGTGTGGTGCTGGAGGAGCACAGCAGGCAGCACCAGCACGGCCGTAGGCATACTGAGCACGCGCACTATCCCCGCTCCGAACCCCACCTGCAACCTCTACTAAGCATGCGCATTATTTCCACACTGGGTAATTCCCAACATTCGCCAAACGGGCGGTGCTGATAGAGAGACCCAGTACAAACTCCCACACAACATACCCAGCTCCCACAGTACAAACCCCCCACACAACATACCCAGCGCCCACGGTACAAACCCCCCACACAATATACCCAGCGCCCACAGTACAAACCCCCCACACAACATACCCAGCGCCCACAGTACAAACCCCCCACACAGCATACCCAGCGCCCATAGTACAAACCCCCCACACAACATACCCAGAACCCACAGCACCAACCCCCACATAATATACCCAGCACCCACAGTACAAACCTCCCACATAATATACCCAGCACCCACAGTACAAGCCCCCACATAATATACCAACTACCCACAGCACC